AGCTGCATGAGCGGCTTGAACGCGGAACCGTTACGGCTCACCACGGTGCCGGGCGGTGATTGGGAAGCGTCTCTGGCCACGGCAATCATGGCCGGCGGGTACGCGGCTGCTCCAGTCACGGGGTACGCCCTGTCCGCGATCAACATCGCGTTACCGTTTCCGCCGTGATGGTACATGTAACCGGACAAGTAACCGGTGCTCGGGTACTGGGCGGGCACGGGCCTTGGCGCTATGGCCGGAACGTAGTGCCGGTGATGGTGTTGATGGTACGACGCTACCGCGGCTTGCGYGGCGGCCGGGTGGTGATCGACCGCGATGTTTAGGCACAACGGTTCCAGTGGTCCAGCCTTGACGGCCGTCGGTTGGAACGGTTGCTGTTGGCGGTGCTGTTGGTGGTTGTGTTGTTCTTGTTCTTGTTGCCGTAGTTGCTGTTGGTGCTGTTGCTGTTGTTGCTGTTGCTGCTGTTGTTGTTGTAATTGTAGGCTTGGGATGTAGTACGGAGGCGACGACGACGACGTCAAGGGCGCCACCGCGTTTTCGTGCTGCCTGTACGGAGGCGGCGGTTCTTTTTTCACCTCCACTGACGCGACCACTTCCGATTTGCATTTCACGCTCAGATCTTGAGGTTTAGTGCTCAGGTTTTCCGGTTCCAAGCATTCGTCCGTATTGTCTGCGCAAAAACAAAAATGATTTCTGATTAATGCTCATATTATTTAATATTTTGTAAAAGACTTTAATGCGTTTTAACTTATATACGCATTGAATTAATAAGGAATAATATATTTAATCATATTAATATGAATTATGCCTAAGCATAAGTAAAACATGACGTATGAAAAATGAATAATTTTAAGTTTATAATTTTTGATTTGTTGTGTATGAAACAAATGTAAGCAAATAATTGATCCTTCACCAAGAATAGGGTATAGTGATTATAAAAAGGTTTGTTTTGGAATTTGCCAAGAGTGATGATCACAATATAACAATTATAATATTGTCACTATTTTCTTTATATTTTTATAGCATAGRTTAGGTTAAATTAAGACTCGTCGTATAACCTATACATCGAAACAGCCAACTATAAGTAATATTATTAAGTCGCGTAATATTATTATTATTTTTCACATATAATATTGAATAATATCACCGATGACGGACGCGGCAGAATGATCCAAATTATTGTATTCCGATCGAATTCATTATTATTATGTCATAATATTACTATATTAATTTTTTCATAATTTTTTTCAGAATCACGTGTTTTGTGTACCGTTGAGATGGTTTATAGTTTTTTTATTTCTAAACGGCGATGACGATGACACGCAATTTTGTTCGTCGGACTATAATAGTGCTAAGAAAAAAATCAATGTCGTACTATTATAGCGGTGACATATATAATTTGGTGTAAACATCATGCAGTCGTCATTTACATCACCGTTTATARCGGTTTATAAATTATTTATTATTATTATTATTATTTGGCGAGGGGAGAAGTGCGTCGWGGTACATATAAGTATTGCGAAAACGTCGCGCACCGAATCAAAAAAAGGGTGGCCCTCAGAGGGCATTTCCCACGGTCGGTGTCGCACCGGTTCCCATCACATATTATTATTACGGATCATCGTGTAATATATATTCACATGACGAGCAAGTGAATATTTTTGAATATAATATAAAAGGGTAGATCGTAGATTTATATACGCGCGAGTATGTACAAAGAATTCGACTATACCGTGAAGAGTATCAAATCTTGTAATTAATTTAATTATTGTCATATATGTATAAACTATAGATGTACCCTCTCAAAAGGGCGGAATAATAATATTATTTTTAGATTTTTATATTTACCATAATCCATCTCTTCTTTGATGTACTCGTACTTGACAAAGTTCACGGGACGTTTCTTCAGCGGACAGTGCGAGTAATCCATTTTCTTCGAAGTCAACTTGTGATGCATCATCGTTGCCGGTTGATCTTCGAAAATATGCATTTTACGTGTGAACGCGTTTTGCTGCAACTGCAGCCGTGGTGTGTCCTCTTCGTAGGAGCAGAAGACGGTAAAAACGAAAAAAATCCAAAAACGGAATTCGACCGGTGATTTTTTTTTTTTAAATCATTTGCGACAAAAAAAAATATTTAAATAGATAATACTGTTAATTAATATTATAATATTATGTTGTTGAAAAAAATCTCGTGACGAGAAAAAAACRTGCGACGACGACGACCGACTGGAATGTGACGTACGTGGTGCACCGGCGTCGAACTCACTGAGATGCGGCAGACGCGTTCTCCGGTGTGGGTCGCCGAAGAGAATGCGAGCGCATGACGTCGCCGCCGGTTGAGAAGAGGTGGTTCTGGTTCCATCGGTCCCCCACCCAACGACCATCGCGCGGCGGCGGCGGAGGGCGCGCGCCCAACATATCACCGCGCCGTGGACAGGTGTTCGGCCCCCGTCGCCGTGCAGCACCGCGTATTATTATTATATARGTATCGCCCGGGACAGCACGTGCTGGCCGCCGCGACCAATCCGGCCGGCGTGCATGGCGCGGACCAATGGACGAGGTGCGGGGTTCACCCTCCCGGTTCGGCGGCTGTCCCCCTGCGCCGATCCGGTTCCGGTGCGCGCGCGGCGGCGCGTCGAAACCGGTGCGATTCTGCAGCAGCATTAACATCGTATATTATTGTATTATAGGTGGGCAACTATAATATTCATTAAATATTATATGCGCTCGCGGCGCATCGTCGCTATTATTATTATTATTATTATCACAGGATCGGTTTTCTCGCGACCTGCGCGGCAGATTTTTCACTTCGCTTTCGCCTTTATATCCGACATCACGACAGCTGCACACGAATATTAATAAACCGTTCGTCACCCTCCATAATATATATATATATATCATTATATACCACTCGGGTAGAAGAGAAACAAATAGTTACAGTTATGTACCGTTTATAAATATATACGTAGGTATAGCTGGTTACCCCAYATAAATACCATCGTAAACCACGATTAGACCAACCGATGTGTATAAGTTTATATATAATAACACGACCATGATGATGATGCCTACTCACACGGTTGCAGTTGGAAACCGTTATTATATACGTAGGTATATACGCATCGCGGTGCGCTTGCAGCAGTGTTGGGAAGTTAAATTTTTTTGGTTATCATAAATATATAATTATTACTAAGTTCACAGAAAAGAAGATTATTGTTATCATTATTTAAAACATATATTATAATATTGTGATTAAATTGTTCTCTTTTATTGTTTGGCCAAATTGCATTAAGCGCGTTCGAGTCGGTATAATTATTATTTTCAAAAATATCACTGTAGCGGAGCCTATCTAATAATTATACGCTGTCAATTAATCTAGTGTAATGATGAAATCATTAATAATATGAAATTATATATAGATAAGATATTTTATTATATTTGTTCAAGAACCAAAAAAAAAAAGACGACGACGATTTCTTAGCACAGTTTGTCTTTAATTTTTAAATTTCAAGCCACAATATTATGTATATTCTCTAATCTACGCTAGAAATAAAAGAATTTTTTTTGTCAAATATAGCTGTTACAAAAAAATAATTTGAGTATTAAAAAACCATACTTCGGTACCTATTTTTAATAGTTTTTTTTTTTTT